AAACGCAGTTTAATTTCTACGGTTAGGCCTAGCGCCACAATTTTCGAAAAAGCTCTCCAAACCAGAGGAATTTGAAAATGCCGGTTTTGCGTTTTCGTGTGGACGGAAAGCATTTTGAAAACGGAGCTTTTCGAAAACGATGGCGTCACGATAATGATGTGATTTCACTCTTCGAGTTTCCTCAAACAGGAATAAAAAAAAATGACCGGTGACCGATGCGTTTTTAAATTCCTTCGGTGTAGTGTGGACGGAAAACAATTGCTGCGTTTTCAGAGTGAAACCTCCGTTTTCAAATTCCTCCGGCATAGTGGTATGCATCACGGTTGTTCTACGAACCTTTTTCACGTTTATTTAGGGCTGAGACAGCTTCCCGAAGACGACTCATCCTTGTAACGGATATTACTCGAAGAAATGAGTCCAACGACGTCACGTTAGCCATTACGCGTCGAAGTTCTGTTGGTATAACTTTCTTTTGCAGCTGAAACAAGAAGGAAAGGCCATTAAAAATCTGAAAACAGATGATTACATAGAAATTGTATTATTCTTCTTACGAAAGGTTCTTTTTTTTATTACAATACAAACATTACTTACAATTCGCGAAATCATAGAAGAAACGTTAAGAATTATGTGGGTTACAATAGATAGGGAGCTCTATTTTCTTCACGCGATTTGGCTCGTAACTTAACGGAAACAGATTTCAAAAGCTGAAGGTTACACAACGTGGTTCACAACATTTGATGCTAAGAAGAGTTCCTCCTCACGCGGTGGCAGAATGACAGATCGGTGAAGCCATGAAAACGTGCTAAGACGTGGCAAAAAAGAGAGAACTGACTATGACGGCACTTTTAGATTTTATTTAACTTCAAGTTAAAGGTGCAATGTCACGTCGGCACATCTTGAAAAAAATTGGCCAATTTTTTTTAGTTAGTTTACCGTTCGTAAGCACTTAATCGTCCTTAACCAGTCACACCAACATAAACTCTCCTTACTTATGACCATAACATTTCTTTTAATTTTCGCGCTGAGAATTTGATGACTGTGACATTAAGACAATATCCTGTTTTGATAACTGACTATGATTTCGAGATTTCGTTCAATTTGATAGCATATTTACACATTAGAAAATACCACTTTCATCTAATCTAACATTTGCATCACATACTTTCGGAAATTGGGTAAATTTAGCAATTTGACAACGCCATAAAGAGAACGCCATAACGAGTCTGAGGTATGACAGGAAAGAAACGCCTGTCACGATGAAAGGGTAAATGCAAGTGGAATTATTTCGATATAAAGCCCCCATGCCGGGGGAACTGCAACATGTAGAGATGTTTCTTCCCAGACAGTTTCACAGTTTAATTTCCTAAAATAGCGACCATATACGCACGTGCCCACGTGCGTACCTCCCAAAATCCATAAATATATAGCCTGCGTTCCAGCCGGACGTGTCTCAAATGGCGGTTTGGCTAAATTGTCCGCGACGCAGGCTATAAATATAACGTCATTGGCGAAAATCGTCTTTAATAAGTTGAATCGACTGGTTTGAGAGCCTCTAGTCTCTCCTATCGACCTACTATCACTTATCTCAAAGGTTGATATAAAAACAACACAAGTTACCAAATACTCAACATTTTTCCATGTTTTGCCGGATTTATGAAGTTGTAGGTGTAGTAGGAGTAGGTGCGTACTCCATGAAAAAAATTCTTGCTACGCCCCTAGGATTATACAGTTCTACCGGTTACAGGCCATTACAGTCAACTGTCCCTGTACACTACTCCCTGGAAGACGGACACGCTGTGATGGCCCCTGCAGACCGTTTTCTCCTTTCATGATTTTACGTGTCTTTTTCCTCTATAAGAGGGACACAGCTCTAAGACAAACAACTAAATACTCGTATATACGTGACACCGATATCCCGCATTCGATACTTGAAACGTGTTGGAAAATGACCTCGGTCAACATGATCACGAAGATAAATTTTTCAGTGATGAAATTCACTTTTGAATCTTCTTTCCTGTCTTTCCTGCCTTCTTTTACGTGCTTTCTCTCATTCTTTTCATCTTGCCTCTTATTTTCATTTTTTTTTTCGCTATATTATTCATTTCAAGAGAACTAAGTTAAAAATCACTCTTATTACACTCCGATGCCTCGTATCTTTTCAAGAATTTCTAGACTCGTTTGTGATGTCATTCAACAACGAAAACAGGATGATTAACGAAAACGTTTATTTAACTAAACACTAAATATTTTTCCAGTTATAGAAATAAGTTTGAACTCCTAATTTTCATTTATTTTTCCTCTGTTCCAGAATTTGCCACGAAATTTTGATCCGAGTTGTTATTTTCAAATCCTTTTCCTGGGATTTTTAAAATCAAAAGGGGAAGCAGTCTCCAAAATTCAGTTGCCACTTACGCTTGGGTTAAAATCATAAAACTCTATCTGTGCGAAAAAGTTTACATTTGTGCTCTTAATTAATTAGTCGCCTTATTAACATGTTATTGTCTAATAAATTAAATAGTCAGACAAACCTAATAGAGGTCATAAATCATCGTAACAGCGTTCCTGTCAGGTAATAACTGAAGGAAATGAGACGAGTAAGTTTAATGCTGAACGAGAGTTGCTGTGTACTTAATTCAATATTCCAATTCATCGGTTGAAGCAAATGTTAACTTCAACCCCTTTATTACAGTTAACTTTCCAAGCTCCGTGGTTACACTAAGCTTTAGACTGTCTTTAAATCAGCTGGATTGTAAACAATGACCTCACCTTGACCGAACATAAACTTGCAAATTATTCATTGAATAAAAAGAGAGAATTATCTCCTAGTCAATACCACAGCGCCTACTTTTGAAAAAATATCAGGCAGGGTTCACACAGCAAAGAGAGATTTCGATATTGATGTCTGGTGTTTGATTTAAACTGACATACGCGCGACCGTTTGACTCACATGAGTGATTTCGGAAAATCAACTTGTAACTAATCAACTATCTTGCATTTGCATCAGTTTTATTTAAAGATGTGATGATGTAAACAAAGAATTGTTATTGCCACGTCGATAGAAAGGAAGCAAAAGATTCGTATATACACTCACGGTTAGACAATCAGGAAAGTTTTTTCCAACTTGATGCAATTTCAGTTCCGAAACAGCGAACGGACGGAAACAGGACGAACCGTTAATTTTAAAGTTCCGAGCTTGACATTAATTTCACGTACCACGCAGTTTACTTACCCGCATGGCGAAGTTTGAGCCAATAGTTAGGCACAGAATAACCAGCAGTGTTTTCATCGTCAGACTGTTCTACTCAGGGACACTGATCCGTTCTGAACTGTTCCAAACACCTAATGTTATCCTGTCTAAGCTATTCAGGATCGCGTTGCGGGTTAATATAATGCTATTACCAAGCCGTTACGTCACAAACCGAATATTGTTGACTCATAGGGAATTATCCTCCCGAAACTAATACCGCGTGACATGTTTTTTTAAAAGTTCCTGTTTTGCTACCCAGATACAGACGCCGTCCTCCACGCGAAACGGTCGGTCGTTCTTTCTTTTTTCTTTTAAAACATCCTTAAGCTGACGATCGAAATATGCCTCTAAAGGCCTAGGCTTAAAGATTCGGTGATAGTCACACAAATCAAACAGAGGACCAGAGGACGAAGAAAATGATAAACAAAAAGTGGTGTAAGGTGGACCGGAAATGATATTGTGAAGAGCCCGTTTCCCATTGAAAAGGCGTGACAATCGCATAACATTGTTAACAATCCATCTCGCCATGTTATCACAGGAATTGTTTTGAAAAAAGAGCGTCCAAATGGTGGAGTCAGAGAAGTCTTTTACTGGAAATCAAACCATTTCTCAACCCGACTTGGCAGCTCAAAACAGAACCTGTAAACCATTAAAATGTAAAACTGCCAAAAAGTTTCAAAATATGTTGTTTCAGCAGGGAAATTTCACATAATGGACGGAAACAGAGGCGCTAAAAGGGAACACGCTTAATCGACAACAAGAGCGTTGTTTCCGGCAATCCAAGAAGCTCAAAAACTTATCTACAGATCACGGATGCTGAACCATCAATAATGTCTTAATTCTGTATAACATAACATGAAAACGTTAAAAACAGGAACCCAATCGAAAAAGAATGATTTCAGTTAAGAGAGAGGCTCGTTTTTTTCTTTTTCTTTTCAGTGGCGTATTGAAAGCTCTTTTAACATGCAGTCAATTGTTCCACCGTTATTATTCAGTCTTTGGAGAATATTAGTTAGGGAGGAAACCGGATGACAAGACAAAGGGACTTTTTCGCAATCAATTACCAAGCATAATTTCCATGAATAAGCGTAAAGACAATTAGTCTAGCGGTCAATTTTGCCGATACCGAAAACCGGCGAGGCCCACTAAGTAATTGTTTCATTAATATCAGTCAAAGACAGCTGACTACAAAAAGCACGAACTGCTAATAAGTTTCGACATAGAATTAGGGCCAGAGTTCTGGTTTGAAAGACTTTCGATCAATAATACGAACTTTTAGAATTTCTTGCTATGTCATGTTGTGACTGTTCACAGCAATTCTAACTATTGCTGTACCAGAGAATAAGAGGTTAATAAATTGAAGATGCGGAGGTATTCAGTTGGTAAACTCGGTTGAAGCTGTACAATCTCTGTAGGTTATCTATCAATATATATACTCTTGAGGAAACGGTACGCTTGTGGTATTTAAGGAAAGGTTAGCACAGCCCTTTTGCCTCCCCCCCCCCCCCCCCCCCACACACACACCCCATACTTAGATTGCGAGCGGCCTTTCCCTTCTCTTCTTTCCCTCTTTCTTTCCCTTGCGAGCGCGGCGAATACACGAATGCTTCTTTCACCGCCCGCGCTTCCCTCGCTCCGCTCGGTCGTTCTGCAGTCTTTTGCTTCGTGTCGCACGCGGAGAAGGGACAACCTACTTGCAGTCTATGGCCAACACTACCTTACACAAGTCTACGCATGTCAGCGGCACAGAACATCTTCCGGTTAAACGGGGAAAATATTATGGGTGTAGCCGGATATATAGCTGAAGAGGAAGAAATCTTATAAGTAGCAGTAGGGGAAATTTCCCCGATAAACAAACACACCCCAAATTCGAACAAGGCTTGCAGAATTTTTTTATTATGCAGGCGAAACCTCGGACAACAATAGCAGTTCCTTTTCACCAAAAATTTTAGCACCAATTAAATATTAATGACATGTTTCTCATGAAGCATCTTGATCTAAACTAAATCATGTTCTGTTTGACACGATAGAGGGAAAGAAAAATTCTTTGATCTCGGGGACATTTCCTTTCTATGGCCAACACTTGCAAGGAAATACCTGGATTGATTTCCAGCACGTCACTTAATAAAGAGAAAAGATTTTCGCCGGGGTTTCTATCGAGTTTATAAATCTACCGGCTAACGTTCCATCACGAATGCCGTTCTCTGATTGGCTACGCTACTCACTATCTATTCTGTTATAGACAGTGAGTAGCCTAGCAGTGTGCGGTTGCTAAGAAAACGACGGTCGCTTCTTTGTGTTTTCGAAGTGTCTGTGAAGAGGACCTAAATAAAGTTTTGACCGACTTTTAGATTTGTACTATCCGCTCTCGATTATTCGCTCTTCGAATTTCGAGCTCGTCATCGAAGTGTTAAATAGAATCGAAACACCGGGGTGGAGGTTTGGGAGAACTAGAAATGCTTTGAAAACTCGACCCGCAGGCGAGTGTTATCAAATCTTTTTCGAGCCTAAACCATACAGATCGTCAAGTTTTTCAAAGACTACAAATTGCACTCGCCCGTAATTTTGCTAGCCTTTGAAAAATGTACTCGTGCTTATTTATTCCAAATTGCACTCGAAATCATGTGATTAGTGGTTACCTATACAAATATTCTGCTCATGCGTAATTTTTTACCATGCTCCGTGAAAAATGCCCTCGGAAAAATGGCAGATCGCTACCCTGAGCTGTCAGAAAGTGATTTAAATACGAAAACAATCTTGGTGATCAAATGATAAAACAATTATTGAGCTCGGTTATCGCAAAATACCGTCAGTCTCGCAAATCAATTAAAAATTGACCTGCTCGTCACCGGACAAATCAGATATTTTGCTCAACCCCGTCCAATAATTGTTAATTATTTTGATTGCCATAGGATGTTCCTTGCTTCCAAATCAAACATCGAGTTGCAGCCATTAACTACATTATGTAATTGTAAGATTCTGAAAGAATATACACCTCAATCAAATTAAATGCGATCTATTTGTCTTATAAGCTTACCGTTAGGTCAAAAAGCTTTTTTCTCATCATCTGTTCAGGATCATCATTCTTAGTGCCCTCCTGGCGAGCGAGACTCGGGTCTTGAGCAGTTTCAAAACCTTTGTATTCTTCGTCGATCAAGTGTTTGGCAGTGGCAAAGCCAAGAATTACACAGAAAAAGATGGCAAAGGTAACTTTCATTTTGATTATTTTTGACGGACAATATTGGATGTGACTGTGATAGCACTGGTTAATAGGTCTTTTGCGCTGGGATTTTTTTTCGTCAAAATCATCAGCACAAGACACAAAAGTTGCGGAATATTTGCACGTTCAGCTGTTTGATCACCTGTGTTAGCTTTGTGGGCTAAGACATTAAGATATTATTATCGACAAAATGTCAAAAATGCTAGTTCCAAAGGGAGGAAATGACCTCAAAGAGCAGCGTTTTTAATTAATTCATAATGAAGAACGTATTTAAGTCAAACCGGGTCAAAGGTAGGGATCTCCAGCGCTTATCAGTTTCTCTGTGTTGGAGATCACTGTCATAAAGGCAAAGGACAAGAGGAGTGGGGTGGGTTGCACACAAAGAGCCAAGACAGCATGTAGGTAGGTCTGGTCCGAATTCTCCCTAATACAAATCGGAGCACACCGCATATACCGAAATATTCCGCGGTATTGAAGGCTGACTGATTCAAAATACACCTGGACTGTCCTACTAGAATCCATCCTGCTTTTTCAATGCTTTAGTTGTACCCACTTGAAAATATTAGGGGCACATAAGCTATGAGCCTGTACCTTAAATACTTTAGGATTGTATGAAGTGACGATTGCATGAATGGAGAGATGGTTGATTGAGATTTCTTAGAAGCCTGCCGTGGTTGTGCTGGACAACATTTTTTATTGAAAAAGAAATGCCGATAACGAATGACACTCAAAAAAATATTTCAGTCTGAACAAAAAAACACACATCTGTGATCCTTAACGAGGTGCAATTTGCGGAATTCAACACATCCTCAAGAGCTTTTTATTAACTTACTGTTCGATATTTTGTTCCTTTTTGGCGTGTGTTTTGTTAGTAACAGAGATCAATCAATTGTAGCTTTTATAATATCGTGATGTACAAATTAGTAACACTATTTTTTTTAACAACATAAGCTCTTCTGGCAGGTATCTCATGCTGTGTTAAAGCAAAGGTCGATTATAAATAATGTTTGTAAACAAGAAAAACAAATGCGAGCGAACTTAATAGAAAACAAACGCAACCATTCAAGTCATGCAAAAAATTTACGATAGCAGCAAAACTTTACAAGCAGCGCTTGCTGCAAGCGTTAATATATAGATTTAGCCAAGCCTGATCAGTGCAATAATTAACCATAAAGGGAAAATAGGATTTGTTTTTCTTGGATCAGAAACTCAGAAAATGACCAAGTGTGAACATGCAATTGTTCAGCGTGTGGTTTCACTATTTTTTCTAGTTAAATTTTAACAAACTTAACTATGCCCAATATTAGCGGGCAATATAAAAGGGACTTTCCAAGAGACGATTTTGCAAGAAATATGTCGGAAGAAAAGTCAACAATGCAACGTGCCAGTGCCTTCTTTGGATAAATAAATGTAAAGTAACTACTTAATTTATACTCTTAGTAGATAGAGCCTCTTAGACCCCTCGCTTATTTAGCCTTTTAACGCGATAAAAGCTGCTCTTTTCAGTACTGACCCGATACTGTAAAAGACAGGAAAAACACGAGCTGTCGAAGTACTAACAGCGCGCCAAAGAGAAGTCGAAACACATGAGCATTGTAAAGAGCGATAGTCCTTTCTTGGAAATAAAGAAAATAAAACATTTTCTGTTGTTTCTATCAAGTTTATAAAACACTCGTGAAAGTTTGGGAGAATTCGAAAAAGCTGTGGAGACGCTCACCTGCCGCACGTAGTCCCGCAACATTTCTCGTTCTCTCAAAACTTCGAATTCCACTCGTGTTTCTGTTCAACAATTCGATTATTCACTCTCAACAAGTTGATGAGGCGGAAGGCCGAATCAGCCATCACCTCGATGGAAATAGAGAGCGAATAATATAATTGTTTTCGTATAATTCTCAATAAATTTCCCTTAAATAACGATTTCCAATTATTTCTCT